GGAGGAAGTCTCAGGCGGGAGCCTCGTCTGTGAGTGAATTGTGAGGAAGTCTCAGGCGGGAGCCCCCTCCCTATGGGGCCCGCAGATCATGTTGGTAATCCGAGCGGGTCATCGGAAACTTGTAACTGTCGTCACTTTTGGGCTCCTCAAGCCTGAATTTGGAGGAAGTCTCAGGCGGGAGCCTCGTCTGTGAGTGAACTGCGAGGAAGTCTCAGGCGGGAGCCCCCTCCCTATGGGGCCCGCAGATCATGTTGGCAATCCGAGCGGGTCAGGAATCTGGCTGCAGGTGCACGGCTTCAAGGAGTCTCCGATCTACCAGGAGGTCGCCGAGGTGCTGCGACAGGGCGCCGAAGGCGCCGACGACGACGGCCAGGCCGAGGCGCGGGCGCGGAGCTTGCTGATGTTCAGGCCCAGCGACAGGGAGCTCACATGGCAGAGCTCGGGGGCGCACAGCGTGCGCCGCTCGGGGTTCACCCTGACGCACGTGTCCTACCTGACCTCCACGCTGTCGCAGGGCCAGACGCTGCGCAAGGGCGTCACCATCGACTGCGCGAGAGACGAGGACGCTGGCCGCACGGGCATGTCGGACGAGCAGTGGTGGCTGACCTCTACGTCATGTTCTCCCGCGCCACGTGCATGCGGAACATGCTGATCCTGCGGCCGCCGCCGCGAGAGTTCCTGGAGTGCGGGCCGCCGGCGTCCCTGCGGAAGGCGCTCCTGGAGTTCGACAAGAGAGGTTTTGTCCAGGGCGGAGGCGAAGCAGCTCGCGGCAGAGCTGGGCTTCGTGCTGCCTTCCGCCTGAGCGCGGCTGCGCCTCGCTCGAAGCCCGCGGGGTTGTCCCAACGGCTTGGTCTTGCGCGCCAACGGCTCGCGGGTTTGTCCCGACAGCCTGGCCCGCGGGGTTGTCCCAACGGCTGCGCGACGTGACCAGTAGAGAACGCGCCTGCGCTGGCCGTGGCGGCGACGGCGCCGAGGAACATCGACATGCGCGCTCATGCAACGGGAAGGGGAGGCGGTGGCGGGGCGCGGAACAAACAGGGGGGCGAGGATGGGGACAACGTAAGGAGTGGAAGGGGGGCCCGCGCCAAGGCGAGAGGAAATATACGCAGAAGAGACAGCCAGGACGCCTCACCAACCACGAGGACGACGGTGATGGCTTTTTCCAGATTCGCCCAGAGGATTCTTATGTGGGGTTCTTCCGTCGGAGTAATTTGTTTTCTGTTCAATAGTAGCATCAATGTAGTAGTAGTAGTAGTAGTAGTAGTAGTAGTAGTAGTAGTAGTAGTAGTAGTAGTAGTAGTAGTAGTACTAGTAGTAGTAGTAGTAGTAGTAGTAGTATAGTAGTAAGTAGTAAGTAAGTAGTAGTAGTAGTAGTAGTCTGCTCGTCGTAGTAGTCGTATTAGTAAGTAAAGTAGTAGTACGTAGTAGTAGTAGTAGTAGTAGTCGTAATATCAGTGGTCGTAGTAGTTATCGTAGGAATAGTAGTAGTACTATTAGTTAGTAGTGGTAGTAGTATAGTAAGTGGTAGTAGTAAGTAGTAGTAGTAGTAGTCAGTAAGTCAGTAGTAGGAGTAGTAGTAGTTGTAGTAGTAGTAAGTAGTATATTAGTAGTAGTAGTCGTAGTCGTATCGTAGTCCGTAGTCGCGTCGTCGTCGTGTAGTAGAGTAGTAGTAAGTAGATAGTAGTAGTAGTAGTAGTGTAAGTAGTAAGTACGTAGTAAGTAGTGTGGTAGTAGTAAGTAGTAGTAGTAGTAGTAGTATAGTGGTAGTAGTCGTAAGTAGTAGGCAGGTAGTAAGTAGCAGTTAGTCGTAGTAGTAGTAGTAGTAGTCGTAGTAGAAGTAAGTAATCGAAGTATGCAATCGGAAGTATAGGCGTAAGTAGTTGTAATACGTAGTAGTAGTAGTAGTTAGTATTAGTAGTAGTAGTGGTAGTTGTATAAGTAGTAGTAGTGAGTGAAACTGTAGTAGTCGTAGTAGTAGTGAAGTAGTAAGTAGTAGTATAGTAGTAGTCAGAGTAGTATAGTAGTAGTACAGTAATAGACGTGTTAGTAGTATTGTAGTAATAGTAGTAGTAGTAATGTAGTAGCCGTCCGTAGACGTAGTCGTAGTAGTACTAGTAGTAGTAGTAGTAATTAGTAGTATAGAGAAGTATCGTAGTAGTCGTAGTAGTAGTAGTATAGATAGTAAATTAGTATTAGTAGTGAGTATAGGTAGTCGTAGTCTTAGTAGTACTAGTACTAGTAGTAGTAGTAGTAGTAGTAGTAGTAGTAGTTGTAGTAGTAGTAGTCGTAGTCGTAGTCGTAGTAGTAGTAGTCATCGTAATAGTAGTAGTAGTGGTCGTAATAGTCGTAGTAGTGGTCGTAATAGTAGTAGTAGTAGTAGTCGTAGTAGTCGTAGTAGTGCTAGTAATACTAGCAGTAGTAAGCGTAGTAGTAGTAGTAGTAGTAGTAGTAGTCGTAGTAGTAGTCGTAGTAGTAGTAGTAGTAGTAGTAGTAGTAGTAG